GGGCTGGCAAACGGCAGGCTTGGACGCCCAGAAGAAGCCTAAGAAGCCATTGTTGTGGCCTTGGGGTGCCTGTAGTTTTAACGGTTTTAAGCTGCGCGATTGGGCGTCCCATACGCTGTGGCAGAGTTTCAACAGTTTTAAGGGTTTTAGGGGTTTTAAGGGTTTTAGGGGTTTAAGGGCTGGCAAACGGCAGGCTTGGACGCCCATAAGAAGCCTAAGAAGCCATTGTTGTGGGTGGCAGAGTTTCAACAGTTTTAAGGGTTTTAGGGGTTTAAGGGCTGGCAAACGGCAGGCTTGGACGCCCAGAAGAAGCCTAAGAAGCCATTGTTGTGGCCTTGGGTTTAACGGTTTGAAGCTGCGCGATTGGGCGTCCCATACGCTGTGGCAGAGTTTCAACAGTTTGAAGGGTTTTAGGGGGTTTTAAGGGTGTTAGGGGTTTAAGGGCTGGCAAACGGCGGCTTGGACGCCCATAAGAAGCCTAGGAAGCCATTGTTGTGTGTGGAGAGTTTCAACAGTTTTAAGGTTTTAGGGGTTGTAAGCGGTCTTTAGTGTTTACGGGTTGGCAAACGGCAGGTTGGAAGCCCATAAGAAGAACGAAGAGACATTGTTGTGGGTGGCAGGAGTTCAACAGTTTTAAGGGTTTTTTAGGGGTTTAAGGTTTAGGGTTTAAGGGCTGGCAAACGGCAGGGCTTGGACGCCAAGAAGAAGCCTAAGAAGCCATTGGTTGTGCCTTGGTTTAACGTTTTTTGAAGGCGCGCGATTGGCGTCCATACGCTGTGGCCAGAGTTTAAACAGTTTAGGGTTTTAGGGGTTTTAAGGTTTTAGGGGTTTAAGGGCTGGCAAACGGCGGCTTGGACGCCCATAAGAAGCCTAAGAAGCCATTGTTGTGGCCTTGGGGTGCCTGTTGGCGTGGACCGCGCTGAGAAGAAACGACGGATCTGGCCTTGGGGTAGCTTATGCCTGCGCGGTTGGGCATCCCAGACGCTTGGACAGAGTTTTGTGTGCCGGCGCGGTTGGGCATCCCAGACGCTTGGACAGAGTTTTAACGGTTTTAAGCTGCGCGGTTGGGCGTCCCATACGCTGTGGCAGAGTTTTAACGGTTTTAAGGGTTTTAGGCGTTTTAAGGGTTTTAGGGGTTTTAGGGTTTTAAGGGCTGGCAAACGGCAGGCTTGGACGCCCATAAGAAGCCTAAGAAGCCATTGTTGTGGCCTTGGGGTGCCTGTTGGCATGGACCGCGCTGAGAAGAAACGACGGATCTGGCCTTGGGGTAGCTTATGCCTGCGCGGTTGGGCATCCCAGACGCTTGGACAGAGTTTTAACGGTGTAAAGCTGCGCGGTTGGGCGTCCCATACGCTGTGGCAGAGTTTCAACAGTTTTAAGGGTTTTAGCGGTTTTAGGCGTTTTAGGGGTTTTAGGGGTTTTAGGGGTTTTAGGGGTTTAAGGGCTGGCAAACGGCAGGCTTGGACGCCCATAAGAAGCCTAAGAAGCCATTGTTGTGGCCTTGGGGTGCCTGTTGGCGTGGACCGCGCTGAGAAGAAACGATGGATCTGGCCTTGGGGTAGCTTATGCCGGCGCGGTTGGGCATCCCAGACGCTTGGACAGAGTTTTAACGGTTTTAAGCTGCGCGATTGGGCGTCCCATACGCTGTGGCAGAGTTTCAACAGTTTTAAGGGTTTTAGGGGTTTTAAGGGTTTTAGGGGTTTAAGGGCTGGCAAGCGGCAGGCTTGGACGCCCATAAGAAGCCTAAGAAGCCATTGTTGTGGGTGGCAGAGTTTCAACAGTTTTAAGGGTTTTAGGGGTTTTAAGGGTTTTAGGGGTTTAAGGGTTGGCAAACGGCAGGCTTGGACGCCCATAAGAAGCCTAAGAAGCCATTGTTGTGGGTGGCAGAGTTTCAACAGTTTTAAGGGTTTTAGGGGTTTTAAGGGTTTTAGGGGTTTAAGGGCTGGCAAACGGCAGGCTTGGACGCCCAGAAGAAGCCTAAGAAGCCATTGTTGTGGCCTTGGGTTTAACGGTTTGAAGCTGCGCGATTGGGCGTCCCATACGCTGTGGCAGAGTTTCAACAGTTTTAAGGGGTTTAGGGGTTTTAAGGGTTTTAGTTTTAAGGGTTTTAGGGATTTTAAGGGTTTTAGGGGTTTAAGGGCTGGCAAACGGCAGGCTTGGACGCCCATAAGAAGCCTAAGAAGCCATTGTTGTGGGTGGCAGAGTTTCAACAGTTGTAAGGGTTTTAGGGGTTTTAAGGGTTTTAGGGGTTTGAGGGCTGGCAAACGGCAGGACCGCGCTGAGAAGAAACCATGGATCTGGCCTTGGGGTTGTTGTGGCAGAGTTTCAACAGTTTTAGGGGTTTTAGGGGTTTTAAGGGTTTTAGGGGTTTAAGGGCTGGCAAACGGCAGGCTTGGACGCCCATAAGAAGCCTAAGAAGCCATTGTTGTGGGTGGCAGAGTTTCAACAGTTTTAAGGGTTTTAGGGGTTTTAAGGGTTTTAGGGGTTTAAGGGCTGGCAAACGGCAGGCTTGGACGCCCAGAAGAAGCCTAAGAAGCCATTGTTGTGGCCTTGGGTTTAACGGTTTGAAGCTGCGCGATTGGGCGTCCCATACGCTGTGGCAGAGTTTCAACAGTTTTAAGGGTTTTAGGGGTTTTAAGGGTTTTAGGGGTTTAAGGGCTGGCAAACGGCAGGCTTGGACGCCCATAAGAAGCCTAAGAAGACATTGTTGTGGCCTTGGGGTGCCTGTTGGCGTGGACCGCGCTGAGAAGACAAGTTCCACACCCGAGGTGGTCCCAGGCGCCGCCCCTGCCTTGGCTAAGGCCGGGGTCGGCGGATTATTGTGGTACTATTTACAACGACAAAAGTGGTATTTTGGGGGACCCCCTATTGGTAAAGTGGTTTTTCATTATAGATGGTTGATCAGCAAGTTCAGCACCCATATATATATATATATATATATATATACATACATACATACATACATATATACACATGCATTATACATCTGGGCGAATTATAACGACCTCACTGCGACCGAACCCTGGAATCATGGTTACTAAGGGGAATCATCCCAAAATGGCATTTTTTTCAGGTTAGTGAATTATGATACTTTGCGATATATAAATCCGCGGCACATAACCGGACTTGTCCCATTTATAACATGCACTGATCTTTACATGCGACGATGGCCCCTGGCAGTCCCTGTCCCACCCCGGGTCCCTCAGGACACCTTCGAACTTCCAGGCATCGATAGTAGCAACTCTCTCTGGCACGGGGCTCAATGCACCGAAAAAAAACGGTGGAACAGCGCAGCAAATCTCTGCTTGATTGAACGTGGTTGGACATGTTGATATTTTGTAGTTGAAATGCGGGTTTCCATAAATGGTGGTACCCCAATAGCTGGACGGTTTATAATGGAAAATATAATGGAAAGTCCTATTAAAGTGGATGATTTGGGGGTGCCACCATTTTAGGAAACCTCCAGTTGTAGTTGAAATGACAATTGAACATGATCATGGTGATGGTTGAACATTCTGATTGTTGATTGATAGTTGATGGCTGTGTGCATGTATAAATAGTGAGATGAACTGGTTCACTGCATTTTTGTCTTGTTGCCACCCACAACCACACAGTAGCTGGGTCGCGGGATCGCTTGGAACCACGGGATTTGGATCGCTTAGAACCGCGCAATTGGCATCGCTTAGAACCACCCTGCAATAATAATCATCATTATCATCTTCATCATCATCAGCATCATCATCATCATAATCATTATCAGCCCCGTGTCCCAGCCCTGTGTCCCCACTTGTACCCTAAACCCACCCCATGTCCCAGCCCCGTGTCCCCAAGTGTTACCCCAAAGGTCTCATTCCACCATGCTGGTTATAGCAGCCTCAACCATCAACATCTGGACTGGTGGTTCTGGTGATCCTGATTTAGTGGTTCTAAGTGATGCTTTTTGGTTCTAAGTGATCCGATGGTTCTAAGTGATCCCAATCTTGTGGTTCTAAGTGATCCTGGTGCCCAGTAGCTGTGTTCAGTTCTACATCCCATCACCACCCTATAGTGGGTATATTGAACATGGTTAACACTCGATGTGCCCACTATAATATACCCTCTATAATGGGTATATATCAACAAAAACAATGTTAATGGTGTTTGTTAGAGGATGGTATGTATCTATATAGTTCAATATACCCACATGGGATTGTAAAAACCATGACAAACAGGGATGCTTGTGGGCTGGCCAAACATGTTCGCTGCAAACCCTAGGTTTGCCCGCGGTGAATCCCGCATATCCTTTGAGCATGCTCAAATCCCTGCGTAGGGTTAACGTGTTTTACTTTCCAAAACAACAAACCCTAAAACCCTAAAACCCTAAAACCCTAAAACCTAAAACCCCAAACCCTAGATTAAAACCCTAAATCCTGAAAACTTAAAGTCAAAATCACCGCGTATAGCCAGTGTTTTCATTCATCCTCTGGTGATACGTATATCATATTGTTTGGATGTGTTGTTTGAGTGTGGGCGAACCCGGGGTTTGGAGGGAACGTGTTTTATTTAAACACCTTTTTCAGGGGGTTGACACCATTACGTTGAGGGATTGCAACATCACTGCTTGCAGGGGCGGCATTGAGTGGCCAGACCACCGATTCTCGCTATGACATGGTTGAAATCCGGATTCACTAACATTCAGCTTCGATTGCAACCAACAGTTTGCTGGATTTGCTTCGAAAAACGGAACCATTCGGGGTTTCTTGGGGATCCCTAGTCGTCACCATGGTTTCAATACTAAGTCGTGGTCGTTCATGACGACTGGATGATGCCAGGGGTACCCCCATGGCTTAGGAAACCTCCATATAAATCCTCATAATATGATCCCATTATAACTCCATTAAACCGCTGCATACCACTACTAAATCCCATTAAACCACCATCTACCTACCTTTGAGCCACCTTGCGCCTTGAACAATTCCCTCAGGTTTTCCACCTGCCTAATAGATGGCGATCCTAGCATCATGTGCGAGGCGGCAAACGTTGAGTTGAACTTGGAGAGCTCATTGGTTACCCGCGATGAACTACAGAGATATCTACCATAGTTCTATAACTAGAGAGACTAACAAAGTTAACGATTTGGGGCATCAACTTTTGTAGATTGGTTGACTAATCATTTTCGAATTCTATAGCTTAACTGTCGTTGATTTCATGGCGATGTCATGAGATATCGATGTGATTAGAAACCAACGAACTATAGTAACCGGAGCGGGTTTCCTGCAGCTTGGAGGAAAAAAAACCCACGAAAAAAGGGGTGGTTTTTAGTGGGATGATCCTCCTTAAGGAGGTGAACCAAGTCATGGACGACTGGCCGGTCACGGTTTACGTTTTTGAAAAAGAGCCGTTTTTGGGGTTAGAAAATGATGATATCCCACTGGAAATCAAGGTTATCATGTGGTATCAAAGTTTAGTAGTGATCATATTATATATATATATATATATTATAAGCATACTTGTGCCAAATAATAGTAGTGATCACTTATTTGCCATCTAGTCGATTTGAGTCAGGAAAACTTTGGTTTTGCGCGAGGGAGAACTTCAAGAGCCCCAACAAGAGTGGCACTACAGCTGAGCCGAAAGGGGAGAGGATTTTTTTGGGGGGTTCCATAAATGGGGGTACCCCTAAATCATGATTTTTTTAAATAGATTTTTCCCATATAAATCATCCAGCTATTGGGGTACCCCCATTTATGGAACCCCCCATATATTATTATATGACCTAACACCATGATAATTTTTCCAGCGAACAAACATGGAGATCAACAAACAAGAAAAACGTGGATCGATTCAAACACGGAGAATGATATCATTTTCACCAATAGACATTAGGATTTGGCCAATAACACTTGGATTTCGCGAAGAAACAAAGGGGCTACAAACTCCCCTGGACATGAGGATTTTCAGCTCCTAAAAAGGGCAAAACAGAGGGATCCAATCCAGGACTTGCCGATGTTTTTAGATGAAAGCTGGAGTGGCGTTTGTGTATTTTGCAGTTTGTTTGATGCCATTGTGCCATTGAAATTTGTAAGTTCGAATCCCACATTGGCAATTCTTATTGGGATCTATTTTCCACGCCAGTCTTTTGGAGTATCCAGTATGCATGTTGTCTTTTAACGCCAAATGATTGTGCATACCTGGCTTGCTTGCGGAGCTAGATTCGGCATGATTGTGAGGCCAACATCAGATGATGTTGGCACGTGTGATGCCGACACAACAACACAGCAAGTTTAATTAGCGTCACGGTGGTTGACTAAGTACCCCGTGGCGTCAGTCCGCTGTGCAACAGAGCTCATAAAACATGACCTTTTTATCGGGTGGTTTTGCCATGCGACATTTTGATTTCCAGGGTCAGCTCAGATTGCCAGAGTGTCAACAACTGGTACTTGTTTGGAGTTCACACGTTAAAACACCCGTTTATAAGCATTTATCAATAATCCATGACCTTAAATGGGGTATCAGCATGGGTTTATCAATACATCGCTGGATTCAACGACCCATCTATTGATAAAGACGCGTGAATATGGTGTGAACCCCAATTGATAGGCATATCATAAACTCTGTTGGTTAAAAATCAGATGCCACAAAATAGTGATCAATTACTGTTCAAACTTGGTACCCCGTTCATTCTTGAAGTTGGGGGTTTCTTGATCCTGGATTACCCTCTAGTAATTTAACACATGGATCTATGGATATGGGAAATCACCATTTCAAATAGGTAAATAAAAATCTATAAACAACCTATTTTCCATCGCAAGCTGTTCAATTACCAGAGGGTTACAGTAGGAAACCCTACTTATTAAGTCCCCACTAATCCCGATTAAATCACCATGTCCGTGGACAAAAATGCCATGAAATTCCCAATGAAATGCCATTGTGTTGGTGAAAATCCACCACAATCACCATTTCTGTTGGTGAACATCTCCCTTAAATCCCATTTTTGCTTCAAAATCCCATTTCTGTTGCTTAAAACTCCCAAGAAAATCACCATTTCTGTTAGTTAAATCCCATTAAATCACCATTTCTGTTGCTGCAAAACATCCGGATACCATCACCACTTGGATGCTGGAGATCCTCCGGACGATCTTCAGCACGATGCCGGAGCTGCAGAGCGTGTTGACCTTTGTGCCTGCCACAATCACCGAGGCGGGAAGAAGGAAATGATGGGATTATCGTAATTAATATAGATATAGTATAGAACATATAGTTTATGTATAATACCATATATATGTTATTATATTATTATATTGTAGTATTATAGTATTATAGTATTATAGTATTATAGTATTATAGTATGTCTACATAAGCAATATATATATATATATGTATATATATTTCCATACTGCTTCTAACTAGTTGCTCGTAACACTGCGACAGCGCAAGATTGACTTCTAAGCCAAGTCACGGTGGTGTTGACACCAAAACATATAATGTAGATATATACACATACGTATATGCACATCTATTATATATATATATACACATGTATATATAGCATCGTCCGCGCTTCTGGAACTGCGCACACCCCGAATTAGGTTGGTAAAACTTGTCAATTCCGGGACGAAATTTCGTCCCGGAATTGACAAGTTTCATTAGGGTCATCATCATCATCATCACCATCATCATCATCATCATCATTATCATCATCTGCAAGTTCACATGAACGTTAATATCCCACCCCATCCCCCCCCCCACCCCACCCCCACCCCGCGTGGGCGTAGCATCAACTGCTTCTGCAAATTTCACATGAACCTTAACATCCCCCCCCACCCCCCCACCCCATCGTATGTAGTTCCAGGAGGTGGGACGAGCCTATATATACATATACAACATATGATATATTATATGATATATACAATATCTCTATATATAGTACTCGGAGGATCATCCCACCTAGTAACTGGTTTATAACCCTGGTGATCGGGTTCGTCCCCAATTCGTGAGTTCTCCCATCTATAAGTGGGCGAATCTACTATGGTGATCCTCGAAGTATGTATATCTACTCTGTACATATATATACATATATATATACAGATACATACACACACATATATATATATATGTATATGCAACCCCAAAATAGATAGTGTAGTATAGTTGATCATTGATCATGATGATTAGAATGAAATCTATATATCTACATATCTCTACATATCTACTATCTTTCAGGTATATTTGAGATTATTGGGGATTGTTGGGAAATTGTGAATATCATACAACCGAGGATATGTATATATGTACAAAGATAGATAGATAGATAGAGATAGAGATAGAGATAGATAGAGATAGATAGATATAGATAGATAAAGATAGATAAAGATAGATAGATAGATAAAGATAGATAAAAATAGATATAGATAGAGATAGATAGAGATAAATAGAGATAGATAGAGATAGATAGAGATAGATAGATATAGATAGAGATAGATAGAGATAGATCGAGATAGATAGAGATAGATAGAGATAGATAGATAGATAGATAGATAGGGATAGATAGATATAGATAGATATAGGTAGAGATAGATAGATATAGGTAGATATATATATATATCGAAAGATAGATAGATAGATAGATAGATAGATGTATAGATAGATTAGATTAGATTAGATTAGATAGATAGAGAGATAGAGATAGATAGAGAAATAGATAGAGAAATAGATAGAGAAATAGATAGAGAAATAGATAGAGAAATAGATAGAGAAATAGATAGAGAAATAGATAGAGAAATAGATAGAGAAATAGATAGAGAAATAGATAGAGAAATAGATAGAGAAATAGATAGAGAAATAGATAGAGAAACAGATAGAGAAATAGATAGAGAAATAGATAGAGAAATAGATAGAGAGATTGATATAGAGAAATAGATAGAGACATAGATAGAGAAATAGATAGAGAAATAGATAGAGAAAGAGATAGAGAAATAGATAGAGAAATAGATAGAGAAATAGATAGAGAAATAGATAGAGAAATAGATAGAGAAATAGATAGAGAAATAGATAGAGAAATAGATGGAGACAATAGATAGAGCAATAGATAGAGAAATAGATAGGGAAATAGATGGAGACAGATAGATAGATAGATAGAATAGATAGATAGATAGATAGATAGATAGATAGATAGATAGATAGATAGAGATAGATAGATAGCTATAGATAGAGATAGATAGAGATAGATAGATAGAGATAGATAGATAGATAGATAGATGGATAGATAGATGGATAGATAGATTAGATTAGATTAGATTAGATTAGATTAGATTAGATTAGATTAGATTAGATTAGATAGATAGAGATAGATAGAGATAGATAGAGATAGATAGAGATAGATAGAAATAGATAGAGATAGATAGAGATAGATCGAGATAGATAGGGATAGATAGAGATAGATAGAGATAGATAGAGATAGAAAGAGATAGATAGAGATAGATAGATATAGAGAGAGATAGATAGAGATAGATAGATATAGATAGATATATATATATAGAAAGATAGATAGATAGATAGATTGCGAGATAGATAGATAGATAGATAGATGGACGGATAGATGTATAGATAGATGGATAGATAGATTAGATTAGATTAGTTTAGATTAGATTAGATTAGATAGATAGAGAGATAGAGATAGATAGAGAAATAGATAGAGAAATAGATAGAGAAATAGATAGAGAAATAGATAGATAAATAGATAGATAAATAGATAGAGAAATAGATAGAGAAATAGATAGAGAAATAGATAGAGAAATAGATAGAGAAATAGATAGAGAAATAGATAGAGAAATAGATAGAGAAATAGATAGAGAAATAGATAGAGAAATAGATAGAGAAATAGATAGAGAAATAGATAGAGGAATAGATAGAGAAATAGATAGAGAAATAGATAGAGAAATAGATAGAGAAATAGATAGAGAAATAGATGGAGAAATAGATGGAGAAATAGATAGAGAAATAGATAGAGAAATAGATAGAGACAGATAGACAGACAGACAGACAGACAGACAGACAGATAGATAGATAGATAGATAGAGCAGAGCCAAAAACATACAAACAGGTAGCACATCATCTATACCATTCTGGAAACGTTTTTCTATCTTTCAGGTGGTTAATGTAAGCAAGAAACATGGGGATGTTAACCGTGAAAACAGCGATCTTCCCAAAGATTCTGGCCGTGCAGAGCTGTTACAGAAACGCACCATTTCAGTTTCCTTTGGGGAAAAAACATGGTAATCAATGCAATGTATACATATGACCGTCTTCTAATGATTCAAATGGTTTTAAATGCCCCAAAATGGTTTGGGGAACAGAACCCAAATAGGCAATTTCCTAAAAAACAACCATAGATATGGAGAACTCAACATTAGTAGATCATGTTCTCTTCACGGCGGTTTCCCCGTAGGATTTCCACATTTTTTTTTTCTGGGAAAAACCCTAGGGTAACATCCGCAGGAAGGGGCGATGAAGGTCCTTCAGCCCTTCCAGTCGCACTTTGCGCAGCTGGATGTGTGGGGACTTGGCGCCGCCAGCGCCATGCTTGGCTAAATGGCAGAGGTTTTCACTGGAAAACTGGGGTTTACCCGCCAGATACCCGGCCTGGTAAACATACAAAAAACCATGGAAAATCACCATTTTTGATGGGTAAATCAACTATTTCTATGGCAATTTTCAATAGCTATGTTTGTTTACCAGAGGGTATATCCAAATATCAGGATCATGTCGCAAATATCCATCCAGCGTATATGTTTGATTAAGACCGGAGGAAACTGCCACTTGCCCTTTGATGGAGGCCTGACAATTTTACTCTGGATAGATCGGGAGAACTTTTGAATTCATGGCCCAAGCATTGATTCCCAGAGTGACGTGATGCTGTTGTTTGAAGGATTAGTGGGTGAGGCTGCAAGGTAGCCTATATGTGGCAGAACTGAGATGAAGGCAATGATGGCTGAAGTTCGAAGCCTGTTACACCATACACCGCAAACTTCAGGGAATCGTCCCAGAACTTTCCTGTGAGTAGCCACATGCATCATCTACCTGTAGTGCCCTGCATTGGCTTCCCACATCAGAAATTCCTTTGAAACCTCCACAGTCACAGCATCCCAACAAAGCCATGGCTGTGCCGCCCCCTCCAGGGCCCCGGTTGCCATTTGCACCAGCTCCCCCGTTACCACCCCCACCCGCCCCGCTGGCACCGCCACTGGCGCCACTGGCGCCACTGGCTGTGCTCCCCCCAGCGCCTGTGCTGCCCCCAGCGCCACCGACTGTGGCGCCGCCTGCGCCGGTGCCGGCGCTGCCGGCGCCGCCGGCGCAAGCAGTGCCACCGCCACCCAGTGCCCCCTCCAGCACGTTGCGGCCACAAACTCTACAGGTGGAGGAGTGATCAGAAAATAGATGAAATATGGCCAAATGGGAGGAACGAAAATAGCATTCAAGGACACCAAAGTTGATTGGATATTGATGTACTGAAACAGCAGGGCCTCAACTGCCGATCCACAGATGTCCTTCTACCCCTGGAATTCCAATTCGTTGGTTTATCAACATTGAGTGGCAGCACCTCTTTTTTACACTTGGCACGTGTTTGTAAATAGATGTTTTAAATTAAATGGAAAAAGGTTATAGTTTTTTTTGAAACACGAAACACATGTTTTCATATGTTATATATATATAATATTTATATTTTCATGTTAAATTCCGTACCAAACCATTCCCAAGTCCCATTTTTTCGGTTTTGGACACTCCCAGGACTCAGCTCAGAAGCTGCTCTTGCGCCTACAGGGCGCTGTGCAAAGACACGGAGCACCTTGGTCATCGGTGCTATGGAAAAAGTCACGAAAATTACCTGTGTTTTTTGAGTGACCGGGTTTGTTAATTCCCTGGGCTATATGTATACAAATGTATGTAATTAATACATGTATATATATATATAATATGTATACTTAGTGCTGAAGACGTTATTTTTTATTTTTCCAATGGAACATCCACCATTCGGGGAATCAATAGAGAATGAATGTTTTAAAACATTTTTCGGGGAGCCCTTAAGCAAATCCGAGATTAACATGAAGTGCACACCAAAAATGGGGAAAATATGGTATATAATATTTGAATGTAATTGATTTCTAGGGAACAAAGCAGTATTTCCAATATTTCTTAGATTTGCTGAGTGCATGATACTTACTTTCCATCTTAAGCAATTCCAAGTACAGAAATATGTGTATATATATGCATATATATGCACTGTTTTTTTTTTGGTGCGCTATTTTCCAACCAGCATTTAGGAAGGTCAGTGTGAATAGCCAACAGGATTTACCAACTGCTTGGCGGTATTGTTTTATGTAAGCATGTTTAACCAACAATACATATTTTTTTTAACCATCAGTGGGGATATAACCAGGAGAACTGGTGGTTGTTACTACCAACCCATGGAAATTCACACCGTTCAAGAGGAAAATTAATCCATGGCAGTTTCCGAGAGGGTAAGTGGGTATTCTGAAATGATAAATGATGGTTATATAATCACCTACATCGTTTTCTTGATACCATTTGGTATTCAAACACGGCTGGAAGATACCACATTTAGATATTAGTAGTTCGATGATTTTCCGTTTTTTAGCTCAGTAAAACATGCCCATTTCGTTCGTGGATTTTCCGGAGTGGTTTTTGGGTTTCCACTTCGTGATCATCCCCAATATGGGCAGTAAAAGCTCCTCCTTTTTGGTCATCAACCAGCAGAGCTTTTGAATCATTGGAATCGTCTTGGAATATACTGGTGATTTAGGTACGGAGATTGTACCTGAGCCAATACTGGATAGTATAATCATGTTAATAATCCCCAAACTTATCATCAACCAACGAATTTTTCACAGGTTAGCAGCCACTGCTCACCCCTGTGATTGATCACGGCCCCAAGAATGAGGTAGCTCCGAGCCACTTGCTTCTTGGAAGAACTAGCTGTTGGTAGCGTCTTAGCCAATCAAAAAATGGGATATGAATGGGATAGAACGGGATAGAACTGGAATCTATTCATGGCATCTTGGTTCATCTGGATATAAATGGAATCTTAGTGGGATATAGATTCGATATAATTCGATAACTTTTTGATATGGATCTGGATCAATTATGGAGACTTCACTGGGAAGTCACGGGAATGATGAAACCGTCCACAAATGGCAGAACATTTCAGGTTGCTGAGTAGGTCCTATGGTGGGTGGAAGAAATGCTGCACCACCAAACGGATGGTTGAAACCCTACAAATAATGGGATGTTTACCACCTATCAACTGGTGCAGGATTTCGCAACCATCCACAGTAGGACTGATGAGTTAGCATCCTCGCTTTTGATTAGCCAGGAATAATTCGGAATGCCCTCTGGTAATTTAACATAGCTATTGAACATGGCCCATTTATAGTTGATTTACCTATTAAAGATGGTGATTTTCCATAGTTATGTTAGTTTACCAGAGGGTACATGTGTCATTGAAGTACGATATTGGTGCTGTTCTGCCCTTTGTGGGTCAATCTCCAGTTCTGGTTGCTTCGCTCCTTGTTTTCTGGCGGAGCACCTACAGTATCATCTCTGCTCAACTCCATAGCTTCTGTTTGCTTTTTAGAATGGCCTACAGTGATGTGCCCAACTGACAACTTGTGTTTTTATGTGTTTTTGAGACCCCATGATGAAATATGTAGAAATCCCAGTCCTCTCAGTCGCGCAAAGAGTTTTGTGTAATCGCCACTCAATTCTCACTACACCTTAGTACTTCAATGGGAATTCCAGGATCCTAAAATGGGGGTATATCCCCTCACATAGCCCTTACATAGGCCTTATATATGGTAGGTACCTCCAATCAATCGGTTCCTGAAATGGCCATTGAGTACTTGGGATTATTCCACTACTGAATTGTTGCCGATGCCCAGTGTGGATGGCTTGTTTCCGGCCCATTCTTGTTGGTCAAGCCCATCTTTTGGCAGGTTTTTGAGCCAAAACCAATCCATTGACTCCCCAAACATGCTGAAAACCATTGAACAACAGATCGTTTCCCATCTCTTCCCATCTTTTCTCATATATATCATATATATCATATATATCATATATATCATATATATCATATATATCATATATATCATATATATATCATATATATCATATATATATATATACGTATCATATATATCATAGATATACATATTTCCATGTATTTTTTATCTTTCATCACATTTTTCCCATGGTTTTCCCATCCATTTTTCTCCCAGGTTCAAGGTCCTAGACCTGCAGCACAAGGGCGTCTTGGGCTGCCGGGAGCTGTCGCGCCTGGCATGGGCCATGGAGCCCAAGCTGGACTTTGAGGCGACTCCGATTTTGATCAAGCGATTTGATCAACGGTATCATCTGATAATAGTGAGGGAAACCCAATAGGATAGCGGCAAAATAGTGGTAAAATAGTGGGAAAATAATGGTATACTGGGTAATAGTGGGAAAATCATTGGATAATCATTGGTATATATATATATATGGATAGAATCTCACCCCGCTTCTTAAGTATAGCCATGGAAAATCACCATTTAATTGGATTTAAGAATTGGATAATAGTGGGAAAATAATTGGATTTGATTTATCTGAACATTTACCATCTGGTTATGACTAACATAGCCATGGAAAGATCCACCATGCTATTAATAGGTAAAGCATCTATTTCGATTAGGGCCATCTATACCATGGCAAACTGTTAGTCATAACCAGAGGGTAATGAATGATGAACGATTCAGATAATCATCAATCTGGGTATTTTTTTCCTTTTTTTCGACCTCACTGCGACCTTACTATAATCATTTAATCATGGTTAGGATTCGGGGAAACATCCCCAAGATAGCCGCAAGTTTCAGGTGAGTGAATTATTATCATTTACCCAGATCAATGATGATTCATGATATAACGATCCACATCCAATAAGTCGATGTATATCATCTGTATATCATCTGAATATCATCTGACGGTTGATATAATCTAACAATATGATATATGTATTACTGATCATGTATAATAATGGTATGTTGGAAATTGTTGATAATATTTCCCCATTATTGATAATATGGATATTCTGATAACATTATGATATATTCTCCCTCCCCCGATTTATCAGATGGTATATCATCTGATATTAGGACCAGGAGCCGGTAACAATCTATGGGATTTGATTATATGATCATAAGCTATTCAGTGAAACGTCATTGACCATAGATTTGACAATAGAATCAACATCATAATTATAATTGGTCAATGACGTTGATAACCATAATCTGGGATTCAGTGATTTAATGCGATGAAAAAAACGGAATCATGCCTAAAATTTTATGATAGCCATCCATCACTGGGAGATAGTATGATAGCCAATCCATAATGGGAAGATCATGGGAATTTTCGTGAGACCTACCCTCTGGTAAACGTTTACATAACTATGAAAATCACCATGTTCAATGGGTAATTCTACTATAAATCACCATTTTCAATAGCTATGTTAAATTACCAGAGGGTAATTAATCGTTTAGATATGCGATTCAATATGTGTAAATCCGCTACTAAACTGGTAAATTAGGGGTGTGGGTTTCGGGAATGTTACCTCACCATGTTGGGTATATCACTAATATAGTGGGTAAATAAGGGGTCAATACTACGTGTATCGCCACCAATACTGTTAATGAATCCCATAATTAGACAAAAGGGTTGGTAATAATAATGCCTAATTGCTTGATTCAAAAAAAATTAATTAACGAGTTAATGGGACTTAATGGATTTGTTTCTGTTTGTGTGGAAGTATGGTCAGTAAATAATGGATAAACAATGGGAATATGATTATCATGGGCCATGGGTATACAATTAATATTGATTGGGTAGCGTGATATAATGGTATTACTGATACATTGGTAGGGAATTTACTGGATAATGGGAAGTCTCAACAAATCAATATTTGGTATAAGAATCAATTATACTCCCATTATGGGAATCACTATTCGGATCAACGATCACGTATAGGAGTGTTTTGGACTAATAACGGCAAGTAATGGGTGAGTAATGGAAATATCATGGCCAACAAATAGGGCAAATAAATTGAATCTAGTATAGAGATGGAGATTAGACATGTATACATGTAGATATGTATATATATGTACATACATACAGCAACCCCCAAAGGTCGAAACGTTGGAAACCTTGGAATTGTGGAGGAAACATCATCGAACCACCACCTTGGAAAAGATGGATCAAGAATCACAGCAATAAACAGTACAACGGATAAAGAATAGGCATATCACCAATAATCTGAATGTCAATCGACTGGATGGGTAGAAACTAATCCTAACTAGTCTTTTGGTATGGGATTACCCGAACATAGCTATGGAAAACCACCATTTTTTTATAGGTAAACCATCTATAAATGGACCATTTTCCATAGCTATGTTAGTTTACCAGAGGGTATCTGAAAAAAGCAGCTAAACAATCTCATTTTTGCAGGGTATAACCCAGCTGATTGGCCATGCAAATCATAGGAAACTGATACCCGGCCTAGTAGCTCCATACCAAAAACTGATGGGAAAATCACATTTTTTTATAGGTAAATCCACTATAAATGTGCCATGTTTAATAGCAAACTGTTAAATAACCAGAGGGTAATCCATAACTAACATAACTATGGAAAATCACCATGCTATCAATGGCTAAATCCACTATTTCGACTGGGCCATTTTCAAGTTCGCAAACTGTAACAAATTACCAGAGGGTAATGTTTATGAATCCAATATTTTGAACTGAGGATCAATTTCATGGGATTAGTTTCATGAGGATTCAGTCAACCATGGATCAGTAACTGAAGAAAAATATGGGTAAAACCAACCAACATGGCGAATTTAACCAAACAAAATAATGGATAATAGTATATAGGATACAGTGGGGGATATCATGAGGATATAATAAATGGATAATCTGGCTGGAGAATCTTCCATGTAATGATTTTTCTATTCTGTTCCATAAAAACCTCGATTGCCATGTTTGATCACCGGTGTATCCCATATTTTTTTCGAGGTTTTTCATGGCATTTTTTCACCTGAAACCAGGATTTATCCGCTTTCTGGCGCCTGTTGGGTGGTTCCGGGGGCCGTTTGCCCCTGGGCCACTTCTGCCGCGCCCTGACTGCCCCGCCCACGACCGCGCCGCCAGCGCCGTCTCCGGCGGCGGGGCCACGCCCCGCGTGGCGCGAGGTGGGACGAAGCTATGCCGGTGGCGTCCTACCGGGGGCATCGGTGAAGCCCAAGGAGGCGCAAGAGGCGTCACTTGGACTTCAGCAGTTGGCAAATCAGTTAGATATTAAGTTAGGGGATGGGATGATATAATATTATATACTGTAATGGTATGTATATATATATATTATGTATGTATGTATGTATGTAATGTAATGTAATGTAATGTAATGTAATGTAATGTAATGTAATGTAATGTAATGTAAATGTAATGTAATGTAATGTAATGTATGTATGTAATGTAATGTATGTAATGTAATGTAATGTAATGTAAATGTAATGTAATGTAATGTAACGTAATGTAATGTAATGTAATGTAATGTAATGTAATGTAATGTAATGTAATGTAATGTAATGTAATGTAATGTAATGTAATGTAAATGTAATGTAAATGTAATGTAATGTAATGTAAATGTAATGTAATGTAATGTAATGTAAATGTAATGTAATGTAATGTAATGTAAATGTAATGTAATGTAAATGTAATGTAAATGTAATGTAATGTAATGTAATGTAAATGTAATGTAATGTAATGTAATGTAATGTAAATGTAATGTAATGTAATGTAATGTAATGTAATGTAAATGTAATGTAATGTAATGTAATGTAATGTAATGTAATGTAATGTAATGTAATGTAATGTAAATGTAAATGTAATGTAATGTAATGTAATGTAATGTAAATGTAATGTAATGTAAATGTAATGTAATGTAAATGTAATGTAATGTAATGTAATGTAATGTAATGTACAAATGTAATGTAATGTAATGTAATGTAATGTAAATGTAATGTAATGTAAATGTAATGTAATGTAATGTAATGTAAATGTAATGTAATGTAATGTAATGTAAATGTAATGTAATGTAAATGTAATGTAATGTAATGTAATGTAATGTAATGTAATGTAATGTAATGTAATGTAATGTAATGTAATGTAATGTAATGTAATGTAATGTAAATGTAATGTAAATGTAATGTAATGTAATGTAATGTAATGTAATGTAATGTTAATGTAATGTAATGTAATGTAATGTAATGTAATGTAATGTAATGTAATGTAAATGTAATGTAAATGTAATGTAATGTAATGTAATGTAATGTATGTAATGTAATGTAATGTAATGTAAATGTAATGTAATGTAATGTAATGTAATGTAAATGTAATGTAATGTAATGTAATGTAATGTATGTAAATGTAATGTAAATGTAATGTAATGTAATGTAAAATGTAATGTAATGTAATGTAATGTAAATGTAAATGTAATGTAATGTAATGTAATGTTAATGTAATGTAATGTAATGTAATGTAAAAATGTAAATGTAATGTAATGTAATGTAATGTAAGTGTCCCATGGGAGCATGGGATTATATGATTTGCGTTTGTTGCTCCTTTGAACTATGATATGTGAGGGAAACCATTCTATTAACCTGCAAGTGATCACTTTTTGGGGATAGCCGATCGGATCCAATTGGTTTATGAATGTGGGTATGGATCCAAACATAACAAAAAAACCCATCATTCCTTCTCAAAAAGGCAATCAAGTGAACATCCAGACGTGATGACTGTGATTTTGGAAGCCAACCTACCGATTTACTGTAGCCAATGGAGATTGAAACTCCGAATCTGGGGAAACCACCAACACTCATAGGTTTTTCACCAGCAACACTGTTCTACACTGTTCTACAGTTCATAGTTTTTCGAATGCCCAGAATGCGAGGGTTGAAAGTTGGGGCTCTACCATGGCGCGTCATCCCCAAGTGGCTCAGGTTGGACGCCTTCATCAAGAAATGGAAGGCCCCCAAAGCGCCCCCGCCCGCCCTGAACACCGCCGCCCCACCTCCCACAGCGAAAGCGGCGCCGGACCATGCCGTGTCCGCGCCAAAGGCCTTGGCCAAGGGGAGCGCGGCTGCGGGAACTCTGAGCAGCTACAGTGAGGAGTTTGAAGATGACAAGTACAGTGAAGGAACCAGGTACAGTGATAGTGAGAGAACCTCAAGTGCCAAGTGATGCTGAGAATGATGTACTGACGGTATCAATAGATTTGATCATTGGTGTTCTGGTATGACGAAACATCGCTGGCAACTCGATGATCATGGGCTAATCATGGGCCTTCCCAGAGTAGGATGCTACGGTATACCTTGAATACCTCCCCAAGTCCTGAAAAATGAATAGATCCAGTGCTGAACCAAGGCTTTTGAGGGATAAGTTCAAACATGTTTAAGGATAAATCGGGGAGTTTGCCACCAATCATGATGCAACCGATCCCAGTTCACTGGGATGGGGCGAGCCCCATCAGCAACCTGATGACCTTGGATATTGAAAAAACATCAACAACCCCAAGGATCCCAAGTGCTGGGAGGCAAAACATGTACCATTTTGTATCTATGTTCCAGTATGGATGCATCCGACCTTTCCTGTTTCTCGATGTTCATAGCTCATAATGCTTGTAGCCTACATGATCATGCAGAAGTGCATAGAAGTGCAGAAGTCATTTTGCTTTAGGCCGGCAGCGAGCTTCTTCCTATCGGATATGCGCAATCTAGGCCCATTTATGAATTATTTCCCTAGTAAACAATACTTCGATTCCTCCAAAATATTTCCACTACACATATTTATAAATCTGTATATATATATTGTATATTGGGGATCCATTTGTACCCATTTATGAATTATTTCCCTAGTAAACAATAGTAGTACACAATGGTCAGTTCCCTTTACCGACGAAAAACATTCCAGGATCTGCCCAGCAAAGTTTCACAGCAGGCCGTGAAACATCCGTGGCCGCGGCGAAAAGTGCGGCCGGTTGGGTCAACACCTCGATATTTCTTGGTTGGTCAGACTCCAATTTTCGATGTTCTACCAACATATTTGGTGGTATCATCCCATTTGCAAACAGGATACGAAACGAACATTTGCAAAAAGCAAGTTCTATCTCTGCTGGTGAAAAATCAATTGAACGTTTTTTTGGTTCTCCTTAAATTTCACCATTTTTTCATCCACTTTTTTTTTATTTTTTCCAAATTGGAGAATTGCAGTTTCCATCGAATTTCATCACCAACCTCGAGCCCAGCAAACTGCCGAGATGATGAGCGAGGAGTTGATGGCCATGACCCATTGGGCAGCGCCCAGTGGGGAAACCCTTCGGGCATCCTATGGCAAAATGGTGGCACCCCAATAGCTGGTTGGTTTATTTCATGAAAATAACTGGATGATAACTCGGGGTATCCCGATGACTGGATGGAATTTCGGACACCTCCTAACATGGTGAACTAACATGTTTTTTTACTGTGGTAAAAAAGTGGTTATTCTATGAAAACAATGGGTGAACTAACTGGGTGCTAACATGTGTTAACTGGCTGATTTTCAGTTTTTTAATGGTGAACATGGCGGAAATACCCATGACATGGCAATTTTTCCCCAACAGCAGAATGCTTTGGGGTCTCAGCCCACATAGCCTTCGGGGTGCTCCGGGGCACTGCTCGACCCTGCCGCCTCGTTTCGCCGGTTCCGGGAACCAGGGTTCCGAGAACCGGTTCCGGGAACCAGGGTTCGGGGCAAGGTTCCGGGAACCCAGGGTTCCGGGAACCAGGGTTCGGGGCAAGGTTCCAGGAACCCAAGGTTCCGCAAACCAGACTTTCAAGCAAGGTTCTGGGAACAATGGGTTCTGGCTACCTTTTGGGTTCCGGGACGTCAAGGTTCCGGGAAGGTTCCGGGCACACTTGGCTTTCGACAAGGTTCCGGGAACCTTACCATGGTTTCGAGCAGCCAGAGCCTGGATTGTGCCAAAGTTCTGGAATCACCGGAACACCAATTTTGAGACATCCTGCAAACCCAGAGTTTGGGGAACCAGGATTCTGGCAAGGTTCCAGCAACACTGGGTTCCGACAAGGTTCCGAGAACCACCACAGATGCGGACCCACAGTTTGGATATACTTCCTGGATTATGCCACAGGTTCCGGACAGGGACAAGGTCAGAGTTCTGGCAAGGTTCCGAGGTTCCGGAAACAACCCAGGGGTCGGATATACGCCGTGGGTTGTACCAAGGTTCATGCTACGGACAGGGTCCCAGAAAACCAATTTGCAAGGAAACCAAGGTTCCAGGACCAAAAGGGCCCGGTCAACGAGCAATCGCTGACAGGGGGGGGGACAGCGTGACAATAAATCAGCGCGTCTCGGTTCCGGAAACCCAGGGTTCCAATATACGCTGTGGGTTGCGCCAAGGTTCCGGAAACGAGGGTTCCAGGAAGACAAGGTTCCAGGGACACAAGGTTCCAGGAACACAAGGGATTCCGGAAATCCCCCAGCCAATCTTGGGTGCTTTGTGGCCCCTCCGAATGCCGATTCATGTTCGTTTGCTCAGTGGGCGCACAGCGTCGGTCGACTGACCTGTTCTGATGTTGCTGTAAAATCTTCTGTTTGAACTGTTCCGATGTCGCATCTACCAAAGCACATGCCACATCAAGCAATTAAGTTCGATGCCTTGGAACACCTAAATATTGGCAGCAAACCTGTGTGAGGCTTCTCGAAGCCAGGTAGATGATTTTTTGAAAGCTAAGTGACCAAACAGCAACACACAATGAAACTTCAGACACAGTTGTGACACAACAACCAAGTATTGACATGAAACTAATTCTGGAATCATGATGGACAATTTGGCCAAAACCAACTGTTTCACCAATCACTTGCGCAAACTGACCGATGTTGTCCAAGCACGACAAGATAATCCCAAACCAACACACACACACAATTTTGTAAACACTTAATGACACACCGTGGTCTGCAAATACTGCCATTCGTTTGTAACCAAATGTATGTAAATTCAACTATGCGCGCTTTCTTAAAGAACATGTCTCATCCTGCCTTTGGTCCAAAAGGGGAGGGGGCAAGGCGGGCAAAAAATCGCCGAAGAGACTTAGGCTATGGAATCCTGTTCCTGCCATCATTAATCCGTCTTGGGTTGCAAAGTTGGACCACTGTTTGAAACCAACCGCTGCCGGTTCCGGGAACCAGGGTTCCGGGCAAGGTTCCGGAACTCAGGGTTCCGGGAACCAGGGTTCGGGGCAAGGTTCCAGGAACCCAAGGTTCCGCAAACCAGACTTTCAAGCAAGGTTCTGGGAACAATGGGTTCTGGCTACCTTTTGGGTTCCGGGACGTCAAGGTTCCGGGATCCCCAGGTTCTCGGCGCCAGGAAGGTTCCGGGCACACTTGGCTTTCGACAAGGTTCCGGGAACCTTACCATGGTTTCGAGCGGTTCTGGAATCACCGGAACACCAATTTTGAAACATCCTGGAAACCCAGAGTTTGGGGAACGAGGGTTCCGGCAAGGTTCCAGCAACACTGGGTTCCGACAAGGTTCCGAGAACCACCGCGGATGCGGACCCACAGTTTGGATATACTTCCTGGATTATGCCACAGGTTCCGGACAGGGACAAGGTTGCGGAACAACAATTTTCAAGAAGCCCAGCCCAGGTTCCAGAGAACCAGGGTTCTGGCAAGGTTCCGAGGTTCCGGAAACAACCCAGGGGTCGGATATACGCCGTGGGTTGTACCAAGGTTCATGCTACGGACAGGGTCCCAGAAAACCAATTTTCAAGGAAACCAAGGTTCCAGGACCATATAGGCCCTGTCAACGAGCAATCGCTGACAGGGGGGGGCACAGCGTGACAATAAATCAGCGCGTCTCGGTTCCGGAAACCCAGGGTTCCAATATACGCTGTGGGTTGTGCCAAGGTTCCGGAAACGAGGGTTCCAGGAAGACAAGGTTCCAGGAACACAAGGGATTCCGGAAATCCCCCAGCCAATCTTGGGTGCTTTGTGGCGGGTTCCGCACATGCCGATTCATGTTCGTTTGCTCAGTGGGCGCACAGCGTCGGTCGACTGACCTGTTCTGATGTTGCTGTAAAATCTTCTGTTTGAACTGTTCCGATGTCGCATCTACCAAAGCACATGCCACATCAAGCAATTAAGTTCGATGCCTTGGAACACCTAAATATTGGCAGCAAACCTGTGTGAGGCTTCTCGAAGCCAGGTAGATGATTTTTTTAAAAGCTAAGTGACCAAACAGCAACACACAATGAAACTTCAGACACAGTTGTGACACAACAACCAAGTATTGACATGAAACTAATTCTGGAATCATGATGGACAATTTGGCCAAAACCAACTGTTTCACCAATCACTTGCGCAAACTGACCGACGTTGTCCAAGCACGACAAGATAATCCCAAACCAACACACACACACAATTTTGTAAACACTTAATGACACACCGTGGTCTGCAAATACTGCCATTCGTTTGTAACCAAATGTATGTAAATTCAATTATGCGCGCTTTCTTAAAGAACATGTCTCATCTTGCCTTTGGTCCAAAAGGGGACGGGGCAGGGCGGGCAAAAAATCGCCGAAGAGACTTAGGCTATGGAATCCTGTTCCTGCCATCATTAATCCGTCTTGGGTTGCAAAGTTGGACCACTGTTTGAAACCAACCGCTGTTGGGGATCTACGTCGGCTTATTTTTTATGTGACGATGATCCATTGGATGTTGGGATAGATGGATAGCTGATAGCTTCAGGCCATATGGCAAGCTCAAACTGGGCCTGGGCTTGGTTCACCCATTGCATTGGGATCCACGAAGAACCAAGACGAAGCCAATCACCGCCACAAAAAGGATTGTTGGGATCCTCCAGCAGTAGGTAATGAAGCTTGGGAATCTCTACTGAAACGAGGTTTTTTGAAGTTCAGCTGGGGTGATTTTTGACAGTTTGCTGATTTTTGAGGTTTAAAACCCACCAGTCCCAGGTGTTTTTTTTCAACTCCAAGATCAACCAGTGGATCTACCTCCAACATTGGAGCCGGCTTTGGGGATATTAGGACGCGCCCAACATGGGCTGTTCATCATCATTTTTCCCCACTGGCACCAGAATCCAGTGGGAACATATTAAAACATATTAGAACGGTGTCACAGAAAAGCTGCCGTTTTGGGGGGTATACCCTGTTTTCATACAAAACCATATATCGTTAGCTGTAATA